CGCCAACCTGTCCACACCACAGGATTATGAGCAACTGCTTTTTGGTAGTGTTTATGAAAGCCGGCTGCCAATCCACGCTTCAGATAGGGCACTCCTGCTTCACGCCACACGTCTCCATTGGCAGAATCGTATTGCACCGCTTCCTGAAGTATAAAACGTTGTGGCGGGCTTCCCTGATAGTAGCGATGGATAGCGTCCATCAGGCTCTTGGCCAATTCTTTTTTTTCTTCCTGACTAAAGGTTTTGGAATATAATTCCGGATGGGTTTGCGAGCATCCCAGCAAAAAGAAAACGCTAAGGCAATAACTCAATAATCTCACCGTCTTTCATTTTAAAAGTTATATAGGCATACACATCTCCCACCGTGTTTCTTATCGGCTCTACTTTCCATCCATCCAGCTGTAAAAGCAAACCGAGCAAGTAGTTTACCACGCCCCGGTCAAACTCTTTTGTCGTAAAATCAAGATCTCCTTCTTCAGTAATGTACCGGCCGGTTTCTCCCTGGCAGTTTATTACAAACCTATAGGTGAGATAGCCACTTTCATTTTTAAGCTTCTCCGGCTCTACACGGGTATGGAAAAACTTTCGCAAACGGTCTTTTTCCGGAAAATGACTATCCGGATCGGAATTGTAGTAGTCGAAAATATCCTTTTCAGATCCGCAAAGCTCAAAGCCTGAGTCATCTGTTATAGATTCTTCAGGATCTATATACGCTATGCGCCTGATGGCATGCGCTCTCATTTTTTTGAATTCTCCAATGGGTATTTGCTCAATCAATTCCAATCGGCCCTGGCCTTCTTCAGTTACTATTTCCTGCTCAAATAAGCCAAGGCCGGAGGCCATGGTTATTTTCTTGATCCGAAGTGCTTTAATGGTGTCCTTTTCCGGATGGCTGAAAGTGCTCAAGGTGCTGTCCCTAAGGAGAAGGTAGTCGCGCTCAACGCCTGAGCTATCCTCCTGCGCTATTCTGAAATTCTGTGTTTCCTCCAGCCAGCCACTCCCCCTTATCCCGGAAACTTTAAAGTGGTACTCGCCCGAACGCTCAGTTAAATAATCAGCCACGTCAATAAGCTGCTCAATACTATCACCGTTAGCCATATAAGCTTTCTCCTGGCTTATATTAATACTTTCTTCACCTGTTGCCAGGTACCGCTCATGTACTTTTTCAAAGGCGGCATTATAGGTGGTCATCACAATTGTACGCGGGTCTAAAAAGTGGTACTGAATGTATTGGATATCGGTGGTTTTTGTGAAACCATCATCAGACTTATAATGGTAATAGTACTTATTGGCTATACCTTCCTTTAAATGTGTTTTAGAAGGAAAGTAATTGAGCAAGCCGTTTTGAACTGGTTTTTGACAGGAATACAGAAGTAAAGAGAATACGAATGCGATACTTATTTTTTTCATTTGGTGGCAGGGTTTGACCGGACAATGACATCTGCTTTTCAAAAATCAGACCTCAGATTTTTTTTCTCCGTGTTGCGAAGGTTTGTGATGCATGGTTTGCAGTTGTGCGGTAGTTTGGCGGCTACCGTCATGGCTCCATCCCGGAGGTCCGAAAACATAGCCCGTCCATTGGCCGGGGTATCGCCACACATCTTTTATAATATCTCTCCATTCATGAGTAGCAATGATCAATGGGTTGTATGTGTCAATATTTTTAGTGAGCCCGTAAGTGGGGCGCTCTTCTTCCGGCTGAAAGGTACCAAACATACGATCCCAGATAATGAGAATACCTGCGTGGTTTTTATCCAGGTACTTAAGGTCTGATGCATGGTGCACACGATGGTGTGAGGGCGTATTGAAAACTGCCTCAAACCATCCTGGCAGTTTTTGTATTACCTCAGTATGTATCCAAAACTGATACAGAAGGCTGACACTATGCATGAAGAGAATCATTAACGGATGAAAACCCAATAGTGGCATCCATAAGTAAAATACAAATCCGGTAAAATTACCCGTCCAGGTTTGGCGTAATGCTGTGGCCAGATTGTACTTGGTGGAGGAGTGGTGAATTACGTGGCTGGCCCAGAAGAACCTTACTTTATGGCTGCTCCTGTGAAACCAGTAATAGCTGATATCGTCTGCAAAAAAGCACAATATCCAGGCCCACCAAACAAAGCCTAATTCCCATAGCCTGAATTGGTATAACAGGGTATATACACCAAAGACCATTGCCTTGGAGAACAACCCGATTATAACATTTCCCAGGCCCATGGCAATGCTGCTGGCGGCATCTTTAGTATGGTAAAAATCGGCCTTAAGCCGCGTGGTAATAATTACCTCAAGAGCTATAAAACCCACAAAAAAAGGAATGGCGTAATGTATGAGATTGGGCAACTGCATTTCTTCAAAAATAGCAAGAATCTCCTCAGGTACACTTTTGCTTTTTCCCTTACTTTGCAGTAAAATCAATTGCATGCTGGACATGTTCCGCGAAATCCTGGCTGATACTATTTCTATTTTCACCATTATGAACCCTCTCTCTGCCGGGGTTGTAATGCTTACCCTGGTAGATGATGACACTACCCGCAAGGAGTTTAACTCAATTGCCGTTAAGAACACCCGTGCCGTTTTTGTGGCTATGGTGATATTATACCTGAGTGGCACCTATATTTTTAATTTTTTTGGGATACAGCCGGACGGCTTACGGGTATTCGGAGGTATAATCCTGCTTCTGATGGGTTTTAATATGGTGCAGGGGCATGATAAAAAAGTGAACCACCGCCCGCAGGAACAGGCGGCTGCACAAATGCGGAATGACATTAGTATGGTGCCTTTAGCCATTCCTATTATTGTGGGACCCGGCCTGGCCACTACCCTTATAAACCTCAGTATTGGTTCTGAAGGTTGGGAAGATTATATTTCTGTAGTGGTAGCCATCTTTCTTTGTGCTATGGCCAATTTTATCATTTTGAGAAGAATGCCATTTATTAAAAAGCGACTGGGTGTAAACGGCTTGAAAGTATTTAACCGGCTCATGGGCTTGATAGTAGGTTCTTTGGCCGTACAAATGATCCTTAAGGGCTTGATAGGACTCAATCAATATTTTAATTAGAATGGAATTCTCTGTACTGTTGCTTTTTACTGTGGGGGCTTTTTTAGCCGGAGGTGCGCTGGGATGGTTCTTTCAATTAAACCGTACCAATAAAGCGGCACAGGAGGCGTCTGCCCTTTTGACCAGCCTTGAAAATGAAAAGCTGTATGCCTCCCGGAAAAATCAGGATCTTGAAAAAGAACTGGCACAGTCTAAAGCGGACATGGCCGCACAAAGAGAACGGGAACTAAAGCTAACCGATGACCTTTCACGCAGTCGCACAGAGCATGAAAACCTCAGTGGGAAACTGGCTGAACAGAAAAAGGAAATGGAGCAGCTGAATGAAAAGCTCTCTGCTGAATTCAAAAACCTGGCAAACCAGATATTTGAGGAAAAATCCAAAAAGTTTACTGATCAGAATAAAGAAAACCTCGGTGAATTGCTGAACCCTTTGCGGGAGCGTATCGCTGAATTCCAGAAGAAGGTGGAAGATACCAATACCCAAAGCGTTCAGCGTAATGCAGCTTTGAATGAGCAATTAAAAAACCTGAAGGAACTGAACCAACAGATCACTCAGGAGGCAAAAAGCCTCACCCTGGCCCTGCGTGGAGATTCCAAGACGCAGGGTGGCTGGGGTGAAATGCAGCTGGAGAGCATACTGGAGAAGGCGGGCCTGCAGAAAGATATTCATTACTTTAAGGAGAAGAACCTTAAAACAGATGAAGGCAGCAATCAGCGACTGGATTATATCATTAGCCTGCCGGATGGCAAACACCTTATACTGGATTCCAAAGTTTCATTAACGGCCTACAGCCGCTATTACGATACAGAAGATGAAACCGAGCAAAAGCAATACTTAAAGCAACACCTGGATAGCATCAACGGGCATATTAAAAGCCTGGGCGATAGAAATTACCAAAGCCTTTACGATATTAATCCTCCGGATTATGTAATGATGTTTGTGGCCAATGAACCAGCACTGACCATTGCCCTTAAAGAAGATCCGCAATTGTATGAAAAAGCCCTGGACCGAAACATTGTGCTGGTATCCACTACCACTTTACTCGCTACCTTACGCACTATCTCTTACATCTGGAAACAGGATCTGCAAAACAAAAATGCGGAGGAAATTGCACGGCAGGCGGGCTCGTTGTATGACAAATTTGTGGCTTTCAGCGAAGACCTTATGAAGCTGGGAAATCAACTGGGCACCGTACAAAAGACCTACCAGGAATCTATGAAGAAATTAACGGATGGGCGTGACAACCTGGTCCGGAAATCAGAACGTATCAGGGAACTCGGAGCTAAAACATCCAAACAAACGGATCAGCGACTGCTGGACAGGGCGGACGATTAATGGATCAACAGCAGGGTGCTTTGCATACCCTGCTTCGTATTCAGCTTCAACAGGTACATACCTTCCCTGAGGCTCGCTACCCTAAGCCTGCCACTCTCTGAATTTGTTTGCTTCAACAGCTGGCCACTCATATTGTATATCTCAACAATATCACCGGCCTCCCATGGGTGAACGGTAACCTCCTCCCCGGCCGGGTTGGGATACACTTTTAATTCTTCAACCTCATGCGCGGCCACTTTAGTATTCTGACACAGCAGTGCACTCATAAGTTTCCAAAGATCATCATCAAAGCCGGATAATGCCGCTAAGGACTGATCAGCAGCGTTCCCGACACGCACTACAACCAGATTTTCACTGGGCACTATGTAAATACGTTGGTCATTCTTGCCAGCTGCCATATACAAATCAGCCGGGGCTGAGGGTATGATAGGCCCATTAAAAGTAAGATCAATCCCGGGTTGGCGGTAGGTACTTTGCCCATTTAGCCACCACAGATAACCGTAAGCTTCATTGAAGTTTTGCGAAGGGTGCACCATATCGTAAAAATAGGCTGAGTCTGCCAAAACAGGATTTCCATTCCAGACCCCTTCACTAAGGGTCAATAAACCAAAGCGCGCCATACTGCGGGCATTGCTGAAGAAAACATAATTCAGCCACAGACCTGTAATTCCCGTGGCGGAGTTTAATTGCTGAAATGTAAACTGGTTAAAAGTGAGGTTAGTAGCCCCTGTTACCACATCCTGCAACAACCGGTAAGGTGCATTGTGGTAATACCAATAGGTACCCGCATTATTTTTGTACAACAGGCAGGTGTCTTCTATACAATTCAGATCAGAAACGGTATAATCCAGACCAGTGGTCATACGCAGCTGCTCTTTAATGGTAATTAAATTTTCTTTGGCTGCCGTTGCGGATGTCCAGCCGGCACCCAGGTAATCTGAAGTTTTATCATTGATGTTTAGTAAGGTTTGCTGCTGTGCCATTCCCACTAAAAAAGCGGTAAGGCTCTTACCGGCCGAAGCCCAGTACCATAAGGAATCCTGGGTGAAACCACTGTAATATTCTTCAAAGGCAATTTTACCATTATGCAGTATGATGAACCCTTTGGCATGGGTATCTTCCACAAATTCGGAAAGCGTATCCAGCTGAGAAGTACACCAACCCAGAGAGGCCGGGTTAACTGTATCCCATTGCGGACCTGAAACGGGTGGATAATAGTATTGACCTTTTAAGAGGGTGGAAAAACCGATAAAAAAAAGAAGGAAAGATCGCATAGTCTAAATATATTGAAAAGACCAGCTATACGAAAAGAGGTTTAAAGTAGTTTTTGATAAATATGATAATTCTCTTTATCAAAACACATAAAGGTTACCTCCATACCCGTTTGATGAGAAGACAGAAAATTACGCACACTGGCCACTGCTACTTCAGCGGCATCTTGTTTGGGAAAACGATATACCCCGGTTGAAATATTAGGAAAAGCTATACTGTGAATTTCCTTTTCCCTGGCCAACTGTAAACTATTGAGGTAGCAATTGGCCAGTAAGAAATCTTCATTTTGTGTACCTCCTTTCCAAACAGGGCCCACGGTGTGAATTACCCAGGAAGCTTTAAGATTGCCACCGGAGGTGATCATTGCTTTGCCCGGAGACAACTCTCCATTTTGGCGAACCCAGGTTTTACATTGCTCAAGAAGCAAGGAGCCCCCTGCCCGGTGGATAGCCCCGTCAACACCGCCACCACCCATAAGGGATGAATTGGCGGCATTGACAATGGCGTTTCCTTTAAAGAAGGTAATATCTCCTTGTTCTAAATGGATCATTTACAAGTTCTAAATCCCCCGGCCTCCTATCAAACGGAAGATAATAGCGATGAGGGCAAAAACCAGTAAGATATGTATAAGGCCGCCCAGGCTAAAAAAGAAGAAGCCCAAAAGCCATCCTATTACCAGGATAATTGCGATTAAATACAATAGATTACTCATATTGAACTTTTTTAACGGTTAGTGAAAACTAAGAAATGACATGACCCGGAAACCTGGATACTAGTCACCCAGGTTTACTCCAAAAGAAGCAAATAGCGTGAAAGCACGATTCTTCATATCCTGCTGTTCACCATCTACTTTTACAGTCTTAGACATCCCAATATCATAACGGGCATCAAATCCTAAAAAGAAACTGTTTATCTGAAAGTCCATTCCGGCACCAACTACGGCACCAAAATCAAAATCATTTACATCAGCCTGGTCATTAAACACAATGGCACCGTCAAAAATGGCAGCCTGATAATTGTTGCTTAATTCAAAAGCTCCGTACGGTCCTGCGTATACAAAAGGAAAGATAGTTTCACTTATGGGTACCTGTGCTTTTATCAATACGGGAATTTGAAGGTAATCCACATCCAGGGTTTGCCCGTCAGGGTCATTACCGGAAGTTGTGGTAGCTCCGCGCTGTGCATAAAGTACTTCAGGCTGAAAGCTTACAATTTCTCCCGCATTGGCTTTAAAGAATACTCCGGCTGTAAACTTGCTTACACTGGAAGTTCCATCAGGTGCATCATTTCCGGCCAAGGTAGAACTGGTAAAACCTACTTTAGGACCAAAACTTAATTCCTGTGCATTTGCCTGATTTGCAAAAGCGGACAGGGTAAGCGCTGCTACCGATAGAGCAACGGTTTTTTTGGCGGTGTTTAATAGCGACATTGTTTTCATAATTAAGTGGGTGTTATTTGTATTTGGTGTTATTTATTTTCTTCCATTAAGATCACAAAAGGTGACAATGTTTGGCTGTGTGAGAAGGCAATCCGCAGGATCCCAATAAATGGAATAGCCAGAATTAAGCCTGCAACACCTAAAATCTGCCCGCCAATAATCATGGCGATCAAAGCTATTAAGGGGTTAATATTTACCCGGGACCCCATGATATTAGGGGTTATAAAGTTTCCTTCTACAAACTGGATTACGGCATACACGGCAATTACACCTACGGCATACCAGGCTGAATCTTTAGTAACCAGAGCAACTAAAAAGGGAAATAATCCGCCAATGAAATTCCCTACGTAGGGAATAACCGTTAAGATAGCCGAAAAGATACCGAAGAACATGGCGTATTTAATACCCAAAAGCAATAAGCCTACTGAGTTAAGTACAGCCAAAATACCGATCACAATAAAGAGTCCTAAAACATAACCCTGTACTACACTTTTAATTTCATCTATACGCTCTTTGGCCATATTGCGGGCTCCATCAAATACACGGATCACAAAAGCCCGGAATTTATCTTTATAAAGTAGTAAGAGAAAAATATAAATAGGTATCTGTGCTACAATGGTAAGTACTGAAGAAGTAGTTTGTAATAAGCCGGTAAAGAAAGTTCCCGCATTATCGCCCAGGTTTTTGATCCAGCGATCCTGTTGCGGAGCTGAAATTCCCATTCTGCTTTCCAGGGTATCTCCTATATTTTGAAGTAGAGCGATTACTTTACGTTCAATGGAAGGAAGGTCTTCAATGAGTTGAGCCAGCTGAAATCCACTATAAGTCAGGATACCGCCAATCACCAGGATAAAGCATAACATGGCTATTAAAATGGCCAGAACCCTTGGCATACCGATTCCTTCCTGCTTCCGAACTAATGGATTAAGGATTATAGCAAAGAGAAAGGAAATAGCCAGTGGAACGATAACTACTTTAGCAACAATGAGCAGGGCAACCAAGAAAGCCAGAATTATGCTGAGCTGGCTGAAAGTTTTAACCTTTTCTCTAAAGTTCTCGGTCATTTTACAATGTTTGGTTGCCCTGCTCTAAAAAGTAGATAGGTGTTATTTGTTAGCGAATTCCCACAATGTGAAGTTTGTGCCAAAAACGAATAAAATGATTAAGTGGTTGATTTTCAATATTTATATTTCAGATACCAATACCGCTTATAATCCTGATTTTTTCATTTTGGAAGGGTTACCTTACTAAAGCGGTAAGCATTTTGAAAGTTTTTCCGACATCGAAATGCAATTAATATCATTTCCCGGATATCAAGTAAAGGCTAAGCTTCTCTGTTTTCTTTTTCAGGATTCCCATTTCCATACATCAAGGCCACGATCAGGAATACCATTCGTAATTTATGGGAGCGTATTTAACAGGCATTGTGTCATATGGAAGAAACTCCGTCAAATGGTATACAATTTGATGTGCCAACATCGTTAAACGATTGGTGCCCTATGTAGGTAAATTTTGTGTTAAACGTTCTTTTAATATCTAAAGGCACCAAAGTAAAAAGCCCCGCTAACACAGCGGGGCTTTTCTTTTATATAATGGCTATAGATCAGCTTATCTTCTCACGTTCGCGTTGCTCCACAATTTCATTGGCTCGTTCAATAGCTTTTTTCAACTTGTAATCACTCCAGGTGTTTTTGTAGTATTTATTTACAAAATCATCCAGCTTACGAATCACAAAAACATTATAAGCACCTCTCATTTTTCCAAGGCTGGAAGGATTAAGGGTTCGAAGGCTTAAGCTAAAGCTTCCATCCACATAATCCATATGATGCCATACACCGCTGGGCATAAACAATGTGTCTCCATGGTGAAGATCACAACGATACCCGTGAGCATACTTTAAAGCCGGATACTTTTCGTAATCCACATCTGAAAGGTCTGCCGCACTATGCGTGGTAAAAGGAAGTTTATACAGGTATTTGGTTTGGCTCTGATCAAAAAGTGTTACTCTTTTGGTTCCCCTGAACTGTGTGATAAAAACGTTAGAAAGATCAATATCATAATGCAGGCGCACATTGCTTCCGGCACAGCCAAAGAACATATACGGGAAGTCTTTTAACCAGCCCTCCATAATTGGTGGAAAATCGAAATCATTTACCAGATCGGGAACGAGCTTAAATAAATTAAAGAGAAATATCCTAAGGTCTGATTCTACATTCTGATCCAGCATATCAAGGTACTCACTAAAAGGAACCTCTTTTACCGGAGGCATTTCAATTTTAGTGGGTTCATT